GTGGTACCTGCTATGATTACAGCAGTGCATATTGTGGTGGTACCTGCTATGATTACAGCAGTGCATACTGACTGGTGGTACCTGCTATGATTACAGCAGTGCATACTGCTGTGGTGGTACCTGCTATGATTACAGCAGTGCATTTTGTGGTGCTACCTGCTATGATAACAGCAGTGCATAAGGACTGTGGTGGGACCTGCTATGATTACAGCAGTGCATATTGTGGTAGTACCTGCTATGATTACAGCAGTGCATACTGACTGGTGGTACCTGCTATGATTACAGCAGTGCATACTGCTGTGGTGGTACCTGCTATGATTACAGCAGTGCATTTTGTGGTGCTACCTGCTATGATAACAGCAGTGCAAAAGGACTGTGGTGGGACCTGCTATGATTACAGCAGTGCATACTGTGGTGGTACATGCTATCACTACAGCAGTGTATACTGACTGTGGTGGTTCCTGCTATCACGACAGCAGTGTATACCGACTGTGGTGGTAGCTGCTTTCACGACAGCAGTGTATACCGACTGTGGTGGTACCTGCTATCACGACAGCAGTGTATACCGACTGTGGTGGTACCTGCTATCAGGACAGCAGTATATACCGACTGTGGTGGTACCTGCTATGATTACAGCAGTGCATACTGCTGTGGTGGTATCTGCTATTACAGCAGTGCATACTGCTGTGGTGGTACCTGATATGATAACAGCAGTGCATGCTGACTGTGGTGGTATCCTGCTTTCACTACAGCAGTGCATACTGACAGTGGTGGTACCTGCTATGATTACATCAGTGCATACTGTGGTGGAATCTATGATTACAGCAGTGCATACCGACTGTGGTGGTACCTGCTATGATTACAGCAGTGCATACTGACTGTGGTGGTACATGCTATGATTACAGCAGTGCATGCTGACTGGTGGTGCCTGCTATGATTACAGCAGTGCATACTGCTGTGGTGGTACCTGCTATGATTACAGCAGTGCATACCGACTGTGGTGGTACCTGCTATGATTACAGCAGTGCATACCGACTGTGGTGGTACCTGCTATGATTACAGCAGTGCATACTGACTGTGGTGGTACCTGCTATGATTACAGCAGTGCATGCTGACTGGTGGTAACTGCTATGATTACAGCAGTGCATACCGACTGTGGTGGTACCTGCTATGATTACAGCAGTGCATGCTGACTGGTGGTACCTGCTATGATTACAGCAGTGCATACTGCTGTGGTGGTACCTGCTATGATTACAGCAGTGCATATTGTGGTGGTAACTGCTATCACTACAGCAGTGTATACCGACTGTGGTGGTACCTGCTATCACGACAGCAGTGTATACCGACTGTGGTGGTACCTGCTATCAGGACAGCAGTATATACCGACTGTGGTGGTACCTGCTATGATTACAGCAGTGCATACTGCTGTGGTGGTATCTGCTATTACAGCAGTGCATACTGCTGTGGTGGTACCTGATATGATAACAGCAGTGCATGCTGACTGTGGTGGTATCCTGCTTTCACTACAGCAGTGCATACTGACAGTGGTGGTACCTGCTATGATTACATCAGTGCATACTGTGGTGGAATCTATGATTACAGCAGTGCATACCGACTGTGGTGGTACCTGCTATGATTACAGCAGTGCATACTGACTGTGGTGGTACATGCTATGATTACAGCAGTGCATGCTGACTGGTGGTGCCTGCTATGATTACAGCAGTGCATACTGCTGTGGTGGTACCTGCTATGATTACAGCAGTGCATATCGACTGTGGTGGTACCTGCTATGATTACAGCAGTGCATACCGACTGTGGTGGTACCTGCTATGATTACAGCAGTGCATACTGACTGTGGTGGTACCTGCTATGATTACAGCAGTGCATGCTGACCGGTGGTACCTGCTATGATTACAGCAGTGCATACCGACTGTGGTGGTACCTGCTATGATTACAGCAGTGCATGCTGACTGGTGGTACCTGCTATGATTACAGCAGTGCATACTGCTGTGGTGGTACCTGCTATGATTACAGCAGTGCATATTGTGGTGGTAACTGCTATCACTACAGCAGTGTATACCGACTGTGGTGGTACCTGCTATCACGACAGCAGTGTATACCGACTGTGGTGGTACCTGCTATCAGGACAACAGTGTATACCGACTGTGGTGGTACCTGCTATGATTACAGCAGTGCATACTGCTGTGGTGGTACCTGCTACGATTACAGCAGTGCATACTGCTGTGGTGGTACCTGATATGATAACAGCAGTGCATGCTGACTGTGGTAGTATCCGGCTTTCACTACAGCATTGCATGCTGTGATGGTATCCTGCTATGACTACAGCAGTGTATACCGACTATGGTGGTTCCTGCTATTACAGCTTTCACTACAGAGCACATGCTGACCCATTCACTCATCATACACTAATTCACACATACACTCACTCACACTACCACTGACTCACTCACACATCATACACTGGGAGTGTCATGCTGCCAGCTATGGCTTCTAGTTTGCTCGTACATGTTATTTATATAGTTTATTGTTAAATGAGAATCACAGTTCATATGATTACTGTTGTTACGTTGTTTTTGAAGCTTTTTTGGTGATTTAGAAAACATACGGTTAATCTATCTCATGGTTGGTATTTTTTGACTTGCATCACACTGGGATTTGAGCACACAGCGTTGTAATACGGTGTTTTTTTAAAAGATTTGCTGGTTTATCCAGGATATTTCTGTTGCGCATCATCACTTCAAGACGATTCTAAAGTAATCTACAACCTTCGATTCATTTCCGCGATTTAAAGAATCGATTCCTGGCGCGCTCGGGTTTTATTATATTTTAAGTTAATGAGTTATCTTTTCATTTGTATGTTATGTTTTTAAGTTTTCAGACGTTTTAAAATATATATTTCCCCGCTAGTAGCAGTATATATCGACTCTATAGCACAAAGTACTCACCTGACAGATTGCCGTGACGAGGCCTAGTCCCGTGCAGAGCCTCCGGCCTCGCCTAGATTGCCCGGCCGGCTGGGGCTTGGGCCGCTACCACCCCCCCCCACCCCCCGCGCTACAATAATCCTATTTAATCGCTATATTTTTTGTATTTTCCGACCCTTTAATAGTAAGTGCACACATTGGGGTGGAGGGGAAGAGAAGAGGACGTCACACTTTGATGAATTTACCTCAGCGTTGCGTGTAAACTTTTTGCATTTTGAATGAGAAATGGCGTCCCCCCTCCAGCGACGGCGCGAGTGCGTTGCCAGGGGCAACAACTCGTGTCTGTGCGTTGCCGGGGGCAACAACTCGCGTCTGTGCGTTGCCAGGGGCGAAACTCGTGTCGGCGTTTCGCGCATGCGCAGCAGCGAGCCGGGCGGCAAAAGTAAATAAATAAATATAACTCGCACTAAATCGTTAATTTGACCACTTTAAAGGTGACGGACGGGAAAACTAAATAGCCTATGCCAAGCAGGGGGCTCGGGGCGTGCCGCCCGGCAAAAAAAATTCCACGCGAACCCCGCGGTCCGAGAGCCAAATCCATCGCAAGCGAGCGTACACAGACAGACGGACAGACGGAGAGACAGACGGACAAAAATGAGTTTTATAGGTTAGATTTACATTTAAAAATATGTTAACAATTTTACATACTATTTACATTTTACATACTTCACAGATGAAGACAGTCAGCCATAGCCAGAAGAAAAGAGGGAATTTGTTTGTCTTGTGAATGGTGCCACAGGGTCTGTAATGCCTACTTCACTCCAACGCTGTCCTCGTGACAGTACGGTCCCCTTCACCTGATGAAGGCCACTTGTGTTGTGGCCGAAACGTCGTGATTTTTGTTGTTTTATTTTTTTACCTACGTGACTTTACCGAATAGAACCAAAGAGTATGGATCCTTGCAGTCACGAAAGCTTCAAATCTAAAATTCATAGCAAACAGTTCACTCCAGTGATCCCTCAGTGTCCTTGGGTGGCTGTGAATATTTCACTGAACTGCCGACTTCATGCAATGAGCATTTTGACCACTAGGATATCCACAATGACATCAATAGCATTACTATCAAAGGAATATTAAATTTACGCGTAAATATAAATGCGCTGTTTGCCAATAAACAAAAAAACATTACCATTAGCAAAGCAACGACAATTTCGCCCCCCCCCCCCCCTCCAAAGTTTATAGCAGTGTACCTGAAGTACTTTTGTGTATGGTTTAAGCATGAATCTAGGCATTTACATAGACCAATAAATATAATCCACGTCAAAATGCACTGTATATACACTTGCCTGCAACATAACAGCATTTACAAAATAAATTATAATTTGCAGTTAATATGTTTCTGGCAAGCAGTGTTTGTGTCTTTGTGTGCAAGCCCAGTTGGCATTTTATATTTTAACCACTTTATTCACCGAATTTGATGAAGCATTTCATCTCCAAAAGACACAATCATGAGGTCTTTCTGCCACTGAACAAAACCTTGGAGAGGCAGGGAATTGTAGCCTTGATTACATTCGACCGTCTCATTTCAAACTCAATTTTTGTAATTTACTTGTACAATAACATTGATTTAGGTTTCAAAAAGCTGGCAGGTCAAGGCTCTGTGATTTTTTTTATATATATTTGCATTCCGTGTGCATGAAAAAAAAATAACCAGCAGCCACTCTACAGTTGCAACTTCTGACCTTCTCTTTTGTTGCAGTTATCTCATTCAAATTTCTGTTTATTTTTACTGTCATCATGCCACGCTCTGGACCTCCTATTGTAAGCGATGCTTGAGCACAGAATTCCAATTTCCTGCTGGCGCTTGAGCAACAAGCGAGGGCCTTGACATCCTGCTTTTACAGACAAGTCAACCTGGTAATTGGCCCTCTCTTGTCAGCACTCTCCCGCCTTCGCCTCTCTCTCCCTTCCACCCCCTCCCTAAAACGTCCACCTCTTCCCTGCACCACCCCAATCTCCCTTTCGTGCAGTCCCAAACCACTCTGAGTGCCTTACCTTATTATTGTGCAAATCAAGGTAAAACAAAAACAACAACAGATGCTTGTATCGTTTTCTAAAGAAGCTGCAAATGTTGAGCTGCAAGAAAGAAAAAAAATGAAATAGCGAGCAGAAATATTCATGCATTTTACTAATATTAAGACAGTATGTAAAAAAATGTAAACGGTCAGCCTAAAACAGGCAGGCCATTCAAAGCAGGTGTCAAATTCGGACTAATAAGCATTCATTTACTGTCAGGTCTTGATGCTCATTTTAAACAACACGTAATTTTTGGCTCCCCGTGACATATAGAACACTCCCCTTTGTATAATTTCAAAGGGACAATTATGGCCTTGAGATGGGTGTAATATGGCCCTTTGCTGAACAAGCCCCCTTGAACCCGGTGTTTATAACTTGCAGGGCTCAATGATCAATACACACACACACACGCTACTGTAACACCCACGCCATAGGGCAGAGCTCAAATCAGGATAGGGGGCTCTTGCTATTATTGCGATTATCATTATCCTTTTACCTTTACTGGAGACAGAAGAGGGTGTGTTTTTGGCATGCAGATTACCGTCGCTTCTACTTCTTGCGCTCGTAGAGAAGAACGGCAAGGGTCATGTGCGTCACGCAAACCTGCCCACTCTGTGAAGAAAAAAAACAGCGGATGAGGTGCTCACATTAAATGGATGGTAAATAAATACACAGAGCCTCCCTGAGCTGTGTATTATTACAACGATGAGGGTAGTTTATATACTATGCAACTTTAACTGACCTATGTTTTTCCTTTTAAACTATACACTATTTTTTTATTTTATCAAGTAAGGTCCACTGAGCTGTACAGTGAGGGAAAAAAGTATTTGATCCCCGGCTGATTTTGTACGTTTGCCCACTGACAAAGAAATGATCAGTCTATAATTTTAATGGTAGGTTTATTTGAACAGTGAGAGACAGAATAACAACAAGAAAATCCAGAAAAAACGCATGTCAAAAATGTTATAAATTGATTTGCATTTTAATGAGGGAAATATTTATTTGACCGCCTCTCAATCAGCAAGATTTCTGACTCCCAGGTGTCTTTTATACAGGTAACGAGCTGAGATTAGGAGCCCACTCTTAAAGGGAGTGCTCCTAATTTCAGCTTGTTACCTGTATAAAAGACACCTGTCCACAGAAGCAATCAATCAATCAGATTCCAAACTCTCCACCATGGCTAAGACCAAAGAGCTCTCCAAGGATGTCAGGGACAAGATTGTAGACCTACACAAGGCTGGAATGGGCTACAAGACCATTGCCAAGCAGCTTGGTGAGAAGGTGATAACAGTTGGTGCGATTATTTGCAAATAGAAGAAACACAAAATAACTGTCAATCTCCCTCGACCTGGGGCTCCATGCAAGATCTCACCTCGTGGAGTTGCAATGATCATGAAAACGGTGAGGAATCAGTCCAGAACTACACAGGAGGATCTTGTCAGTGATCTCAAGGCAGCTGGGACCATAGTCACCAAGAAAACAATTGGTAACACACTTCACCGTGAAGGACTGAAATCCTGCAGCGCCCGCAAGGTCCCCCTGCTCAAGAAAGCACATATACATGCCCGTCTGAAGTTTGCCTATGAACATCTGAATGATTCAGAGGACAACTGGGTGAAAGTGTTGTGGTCAGATGAGACCAAAATGGAGCTCTTTGGCATCAACTCAACTTGCCGTGTTTGGAGGAGGAATGCTGCATATAACCCCAAGAACACCATCCCCACCGTCAAACATGGAGGTGGAAACATTATGCTTTGGGGGTGTTTTTCTGCTAAGGGGACAGGACAACTTCAACGCATGAAAGGGACGATGGACGGGGCCATGTACCGTCAAATCTTGGGTGAGAACCTCCTTCCCTCAGCCAGGGCATTGAAAATGGGTCGTGGATGGGTATTCCAGCATGACAATGACCCAAAACACACGGCCAAGGCAACAAAGGAGTGGCTCAAGAAGAAGCACATTCAGGTCCTGGAGTGGCCTAGCCAGTCTCCAGACCTTAATCCCATAGAAAATCTGTGGAGGGAGCTGAAGGTTCAAGTTGCCAAACGTCAGCCTCGAAACCTTAATGACTTGGAGAAGATCTGCAAAGAGGAGTGGGACAAAATCCCTCCTGAGATGTGTGCAAACCTGGTGGCCAACTACAAGAAACGTCTGACCTCTGTGATTGCCAACAAGGGTTTTGCCACCAAGTACTAAGTCATGTTTTGCAGAGGGGTCAAATACTTATTTCCCTCATTAAAATGCCAATCAATTTATAACATTTTTTTACATGTGTTTCTCTGGATGTTTTTGTTGTTATTCTGTCTCTCACTGTTTAAATAAACCTACCATTAAAATTATAGACTGATCATTTCTTTGCCAGTGGGCAAACGTACAAAATCAGCAGGGGATCAAATACTTTTTTCCCTTACTGTATAGCTCTTTTTCAGAAGCGATCTGGCCACAAATGATAGCTCAACGAAGTGGATTATCACGTGGAAATTTATAGGAGCCAAATTTTCTAAACGCATGTTTCAACAATGTGGAGGGGAAAAACCGGAGGACCTGGAGAAGAATCCACGCGACAACGGGGATAGAAACATGCAAACTCCAAATATATACAGTTGTCAGGGTCGGGATCGAACCCACGAACATCCCGCATGCCAGGCGAGGATGTGAACATCTAGTCACCATGGCGCCCTAATGTTGGTATGAATAAGTCCAAATTGTATCTCACTGAACTGTGCCTAGAGTGCTTCACTTGAAATTTGGAAGCAGCAAGTTCACATCCCAGTTATGGATCAGCTCTGGCTGTCATTATCATCATCATCATCTTAGGGATGATGGTCAAAATAATAGTGGTCATCCGATGGAAATACTGACCCCACAATGGGAATATGGAATGTCTGCTGCTGACTCAGGGCCATCAATAAACACGAGTACTTCCCCAGGACTTGAACAGGAAAGTGGTGTGGGGTAAGTAATAAAGAATTTAAAATAACCAAATATCATAGAGCTGATACATACATAGACAAGATTTGGTGAAAGCAAAGTAGAAATGTCACTATCATCTGCAGATTTGGTAATTTGTCACAAATAAAATCAGCAGAAGCTATTTTTTGTTGCCCAAAAAAATGCGATGATTCTATAATAATGGAATACATTTACTTTGTTCAAGCACTTACATACTCCTTATAAGTTAAGCGCAGTTTAGAAAATAGATATTTCGCATTGACAAGCGTTCTCTAGATTCTTAATTAAGGACGTGTGAAATGACTGTATTGGGTATGTAAGTTTTAATTGTGAGCACACACAATGTTGGTATGGAAAAAAATATCCCATGAGAAAAATTATCTGGCTTCTCAGCCAAGAAAGTTGTAAACCTACTTATGGGAATTTTAGTTTATTTTAAAGTGCATTGAATATTATGTGAGGTGCATTTACAAAGACCCTTAACAGATTGTGAAAAAGTGTGAGATTCAGAGCCAAACAATACATTTTCATGAAAAAAAATCGCTTTAATATAAATCGCATGTATAACCATAGCAGTCTCCCATCTATAACACGTGAATAAATGTGCAGTTTACTAAAGACTTGTAGACTTTTGTTGTTTTCACTGCACAAGCACAGAAGCCGCAAAACCACACCACTATCTGAATGACCCATGTCACCGTATGATATATATACATGAACAAGTTGGAGGAGCGGTGGTGCAGTGGTTAGCACACTGCACTATAAACCTAGCGACCCGAGTTCAATAACTGGCCAAAGCTAAGTGGGATTATCTGCACAGGGTGTGGTCCTCCTCTTCACCAACCTACACCTGACTAGCATGTTGAAGTATGGTTAACTGCCCCCCCCCACCCTAATGTTTAACACAGCCTAAGGGGGCCTTCATCTCGAAATAGATCGAGAAAGGGCTGCACATTTTACATAAGACGTTTGAATTAAATATAATAATAGTAGTAATCGCATTATTTCACAAGTTATTGAATACAATGTTGGGTTAGGATTAGAATTAGGGATATGTCATGAGCTGAATAGTTGCACAGGAAGGAAAACATTCAAACTGGGTGGCAATAGTGCATCACCGATATTGCAAATGTAGATGGATAAAAGTAGTCTGCTCGTGCGCGCATCTGATCTGCCCTGTTTAGCACTGTCACTAGTGTGTTGTAAGTCAACGCATGCAATAATGGATGTTATTTTATCCAGCAGTGGATTGAGAATAACATATGTACAGCTTTAGCATGAGAATTGTAACAATAATTTAGATTTATATACCATCACAAATTGGCACTTCTGCATAAATGTTTATAAATGTATAAAATCTATAACTCTTGAGAACGCGATGTATATAACAAAAAAATAAAACAATGTAAATCCCACAAATACACACAATTCTATCTTAAAATCTATCCAAAACTTCTCATATTGCATCAAAAATTATTCCATATTTTAACTAATAATTGGAAAGGTTGTGAGCTTTAATCCAGGTTGTGGATCAGCTCAGCCCATCATCTCCCAAGAGGTAAATAACATGAGCATCAATTTGGTGGGAAATCCACACTGGTCATCCGATGGAGACACTGGCACCTGCCATAGGAATTATGAATTTCCATCGCAGGCTCCAGGCCACCAATGGGTGTGACCGTTACAACAATGCTCGTTTGAACATAAAGACACTTTGATTTTCAATTTTGAATATTAAAAATAGGTTTTCATACATTGCCCTATATTTTAATTGCCTCAGTCATTCTTAACTATTTCTCGTCAGCGGTAGGATCATGACAATTCCCAAGCAAGAGTTAGGCAGGACCGAGAATCTATGCTGGTGTGTGAGGCTTGGAGAATGTGCCGTCATTCAGGATTCAATTTCATTTCATAGAATGGCCAAATAAGCATTCTTATTCAGCAGTGACATCAAGCAAAATTGTAGACTACGTAGCATGGATGATATAATAGACATTTGGCCTTTTAGTATGTGTTATAGTGTGGAAAGATGAATAATGAAATAAATAACTTCTGCGGAAAGACTAATTTTGTAATAATATAAAATATATGGATTTTAACTGGATAGATGCCATATCAGAGTTTTTTTTTTATCAACAGTTAATTTCAGTGGCAAAATTATTAACATGCAATATCTTTGAGGACTATTTTTATTCTATGTTAATATTCACTTCATAGCAGAAACACAATTTAGTTTTGCATAGCATCCTAAATGGGATGTTATCTCTAGACTGTATGGACTAGTTCCTTTTGGTGCATCAGACATTCAGAAATGCTATCTTCAATGCCTCTTCCTGCTAGACTTTAAGACTTGTGTGCAGTGCACAACCATATGAGTTGCATATGAAGAGGAGATTAAACATTTGTGGGAATATGAACCAAGGCTAAAAGGATAGGTACTTGGATTTTTATAAAGACTTATATTTGAGAACAGTAAAATGTCAGCAGTTTTACATTAGTGCACACCTTTAAACAGCATCTGTTTTTTAACCACCATGTAACTAATGCGTGTTAAAACATTTTGGATGCATACATTGGAGCACCGCCAAAGACATAAGATGTAAATTGGTTCAAGCTGCATGGAAAATTCAACGCAATAATATTAAGGGTTCCTTA